TGGCCAGCTCTGCGATAGGTACAGCGCATTGTGCAGGCGCCATTGCTGACCGGTTTCTCCGCGTGGGGGCTAAGAGATACGCCTAAGACATGCTCGACTGCCCTATTCAGCATAATTGAGTGTACTCTGCCTTGTTGTCCTCACCTCTCAACTCTCGTCCTCCTGGGTTACGACCGTCTAAGGCTGAGTACCTCGTGGACCTCAAGCATGAGCGGCGGAGGGAACAATGTCACCATATCCATGCCTGGACCGGGCTGGGGTCCCGACTGGCAAATGCTGTGGCCGCCGTCTTTCAGTAGCTTCCAACTGGACATCGTGGGCTTTCTTGCCATCTTGGGAGAAGGCTCGGTCACTGCCAATGCTCAAATTTCGGCGCTATCAAGCTTGTCCCTACTCCCAAGGCTCATGCCGGCACCGCAAGCTTTACTCTTGCCCACACGACCCGCGACATTGGAGCCGACGACCAAGGCAACCGTGACTGGAGTATTCAACGGCAATGGCAAAGACCATATTTACCATGTCGCTGGGATCCTGTTGTCAAAGTACGTGTCCTGCCAACCCGACAAGACTTGACCTTACGGACGCGATACAGGGCCGATGAAATGCCCGCCTTCTCGGTCCGCTGTGTCAAGATCAGCAAGAACACCAGGACACCGAAAAGGAGCCCTTCGTGGTCTGACCGGGCCTTTCGGGGGCAGTCTACGAAGTCAAGTGCCAGGGGGAATATGCAGACTACAAGCGAACCTTCTGTCAAAGCGAATGCGGTTGGTCCGATGGCGTACGTCACGCTGCTTGGATTCACACTGTCTGTCATTCTGTTCACCATCTCGATTGTGTTTGGAGACGGCATGTCTTTGGTTGCGACGCTGTCGCTCTCCCTACTCTCGACCCTGACCGGTGTCGGTAATAGCTGGCGCCTGGAACTACCCAAGAGGAATGCCGGGTTCGCTCCACCTGGAGATACTGTCATAAAGTGGGCAAACGGGAGATATCTCGTGATCAGATGCGATGAAGACGTCGCACGTGCGCTGTTCTTCGCGCCGGAAAGGATTGATTACCTGATTCCGAGTGCTGCGATCTATCGGCTGATATCACTGGTAGGCACTTTGATGCTCATGCTCGGTGTCATCGCTTTGGCAAATGCCAGGCTAGAGCTTCAATTTGCCTGGGGAGGTGCGTACATCATCATCAACGCACTCTACTGGATCGCAGCCGCGATGCCCCCCCGCTTGCACTGGGACTTGTCCTGCTACGACGTAGAGGAGCAAGGTATTATGGGTGGGAATGCGAACGCAAATTTCACGGAGGCCCTGTGGAAAGCCATCATGCTGACGAAATCTACCGATTGGGTCGTCAACGGCAATGCGGCTCCACGCACCGATGCTTGGAAGGAGTGGCTGCACCAAGCCCGCGATCGTGCTCAAACTGCTGAAGCATACAAGAGTATATTGGAGAAGCCTTTGTGGCCGGGCAAGGCGCCGGACAAGGGTGTCTGTTGGGGCGTGCGGGAGAAGTGGGACGCCAAAAAGGCTTGGGACCATATCATTAAAGCGCAGGCGGCAGACGCTGTGTGAGTGAGATGAGGGAATGAGAAGGACAACAGCCTTGCGCATGATTGATGAACGAGGAAGCTTGTGTGTCGCATGTGATTGTGAAGGGCTGTCAGACAGAACGGCCTCTCTAGACATCACGAGTGCCAGCCCCTCTCTACAATTCGGGTTCATCTCGTGACACTGGCCGCGGTGTGTTTGCGTCGAAGCACCAAGGAAGAACCAGACACTACCTATATAGACCCACGCGGGTACTCCCGCACACATTAACGGAGCTCTGCTCCTGGTCGAGCTTCTAAGATCTTGCCATGGTGGCCGAGTGGTCTAAGGCGGTAGATTTAAGTTGAATCCAAACTCTACTGGGGTGACCCGCGCGCGTTCGAGTAAGCTCTACGGTGTACATGCCCATTGTTATGCTCAGAATGCTGATCGTTTCAAAGACCGCGTCCATGGCAAAATATTCATACCCTCGCGGAGCAGTGATTTCTTTTAGGTTTTTGTTCGCGAGTTTTCTTTCCGCTCTGGTCCTAATGGTCGTGTGCCACTCGGGAACGGTTGCTCACGTTTCCCTCCATCTCATAATTCGTGTTGTTGATGTGGACAGGCCTCGAGTTTATGTCGTCCCGTGCCGCGGATATTTTGGCGCCACTTCTGCCGGACCTCACCTCACCTCCGCTTCCACCACCTCCGCAGGACCGCAACTCTGCTCGTGCGAGTATGTGACGTCTCTCAGGATGCTCGACTACCACATGCAGGCGCCCGCGGGGACTCTACAGCCTGAATGGCATACCTCGTATGCCGAAGGCTGTTCTCCACGCTCGACTAGGAAATCCCGTCGAGCCTCTGGTCACTGCGCAGTAATGTCAAATGCCGACGCTTGTTATATGTACATGAAGGTAAGACGCCGCACTCAGCACTCCACCATCTATTCCCTTGGTGAAGACCAAGATGATTCGTCTCCTAGCTCTCTCGCTGTGTGCCAGTTCTGCTGCGGCGGAAAGCGGTCTGGCTGCCTGGTTACGATATGCACCGCTGCAGGGTGGCGAGAGTTACCACTCTTCGCTTCCCTCGCACATTGTCGCGCTGAACACATCGAGCGCTAGCCCAGTCTATGTGGCAGGTCAGGAGCTCCAGCAAGGCCTCCAGAGCATCTACGGCAAGCAGTGCAATGTTCATCACTCATACAACGGCGCTAGCTCGTCTATTGTCGTGGGTACGCTTGACGAATACACCAAGGCCTATGGAAGCCTCAACTACA